AAACCCTAAACCCCTAAACCCCCCCGGTCCTTACCGTCTCAGGCTGGTGCCGTCTCTGCGGCCCCCTGGGGCCAGGTGCCGTGTCTTCATGGACCCGACTTTCGTGCGTTCTTTGCGGGTTTAGGGTTTAGGGTTCAGGGTTTAGGGTTTAGGGTTTAGGGGTTTAGGGTTTAGGGTTTAGGGGTTTAGGGTTTAGGGTTCTTTTGCCTGTGTTGAGAGCAGTCGGGGCTGCTCTGCGCAGTGGGCAAGCGGGGTGTCTGCTAGCCACGATTCCGAGAGCCGCATTTTACTTCTTCCTACCAAGCCAAGGAGTCTTCAACAAACAGGAAAGAGACCTCATATTCATCAGAGTCTCATAGATACTTCATTTCAATCCCTAAACCCTAAACCCTTTATGAAGACTTCGAGTTATTCCACTAACCCCTCAGCCCCAAACTCTTTACGTTCCAAGCCGTACAAGAAGGTCACCGGACGTCCCCACAGAATCTTCTTAGGCTGCTAATTGATAGGAGATGTAGGGTTTAGGGTTTTAGGGTTTAGGGTTTATGTACTGTTTATTATATGGTATTGAGTTTGTTAGCAGCCTAAGAAGGTTCTTTGGGTGGCAAATGTAGTGCAAAGCTGACACCCATCCCTCTGAAGGCAAATTAAAGCTAATCTTTAACCCCTGCACAGCGAAACAAGACGTGCATACAACTCTGTATGCTAGGTCCCATGACCATTTAAGTATGAGAGACGTTTCGCAGGCCGGCATCGCGTGCATCCCATGGCTGCTTGGAATGCAAGCTCGTCAGATTCGGGGGCCTCTGAATGAGACCTACCTTCCTGCCGACCTTCCTGCTTACCCGTCCACCTGCCTACCTGCCTACCTGCCTACCTACCTACCCAACCTGCCTATCCTATCTCCCAACCTCCCCACCTGCCACCTCGCTGCCTCCCTGTATACATGCATACATACATGCATGCATGCATACATACGAACATATTTGTAGGTCTTTGCTTAGTTGTTTGTTCTAGTGCAACTGCTTTCACAAATATTCATGCATTTGTGTGCTTGCCATGTCCTATGTTTTCGTAAACGAGCTGGTAGTACATGTATGTTTGTATGTATGGATGTATCTATCTATCTATCCATCTATCTATCTATCTACCTATCTATCTATCTATCTACCTATCTATCTATCTATCTATCTATCTATCTATCTATCTATCTACTTATGCATGTAGGTATGCATGTATGTATGAAAAAATGTATGTATGTATGCATGTATGTATGTATGTATGCATGCATAAAAACGTATATACATACATCCAGAGGTTAGCATATATGATGGAGATGTGCCATCCAAAAGACACTGAGGGGAACCGAGTTCAGAAGAAACCTCAGGGGCAATCCTCCCGTACAGTATAGCAAACCCCAGAGTGCGGCGGTTTTTGGTTAAGGGTTTAGTGAACCTTTGACAGTGTTGCTCCGGAAGTATCGGAAGGTCTAGGCCTAACGCCACGTTCTCCTCAGCCCTGCACCCCAAGTTAAGCAAGCCTCTGTTTATCCCAAAGACTGAACCATCTCAAACCGCTCATCCTCAACCCTAAACCCCTAAATTCAGGATGTTCTGCACCATGTTGGGCAAGCAGGGAGTGCTGGACAGCGGGCGCTACTCCATCCTGAAGCTTGTTGGGCAGTTTCAATTTTTTCAGCTCTTCCTGTTTCTATGTTTTCTACACAAACACAGTCGTTAATCATCGTGTTGTTTTATATTGTTGTTGTAACTATTATTTCTTGTTTTGTTATTAATTGTTTTGGTTGTTCTTCAGTTCAACGTCTGCTTACTATTGTTGTGATTACTGTTATTGTTAACCTATAGGCCTTACTAGTTCGTAGTCGTGATGCTTGTAGTCCCTATGTAAGTGTGCTATAATCTGCACCGAGATCCTATTCCAAATTGTGCAACAGCGCATTGCCAGTCATATTGCAGTATGGCTGCGGTTTCTGCGGGGTGGGACATTCACGCCGGAAATTGCGTCTATGCGGTGATTACAAATTTGGAACTCGAAACTCCAAACTCAAAAGTCCCACACCCCAAAGCCTTAGACCCGAAGCCCTGAGGCCTAAACCCTACCAAGGAACGCAAACTACATGAAGGCTCGGCTTGAGCCTCATTTCGACATTGCCCCAACCAACAAGAACAACCGTTGCGCCCACGAGCTTCTTGATCGCAAGCCAGATTGTTTAGTGTTTAGTGGTGGGATGTGGTGGGTGCTGGTGACGGTGGTGGTGGGTCGTGGTGGGTGCTGATGGTGTGTGCTGAGTGGTGCTGGCGCTGCCGCTGCCGCTGCCGGTGCCGGTGCTGGTGCTGGTG